GGGGCGGGACAATACCTCCCCTTCTGTATTGCGTCCAGGGGGCAAGACTTGATATGGGATCCCAGAGAATGGGAATTGTCGAGACAAAGAATGCAAAGGACAGACGTGCCGCTCCAGAATCTTACTACCAAGAATATCTATAACTCTTTACTGGAGCCGGTGAACATCTGTGAGGAGGTGAGGACTTGTTGGGCCAAAAGGAACTGGATCCTTGACGCATATTTTGGCAGAAGGTGGAATGAGCAATGTGCACTTCTGGTAGCCCTGCCAGATCAGAAACAGGCAGGCCTGCTATGACATCTGTACCATCTAGCGACCCCCACCGCGCTGTGGCTGGCAACTAAGACACAAGGACCAGAGATGTGCAGCAGGCTGTGCACAAGTTGGAACAGTGCCCCACCTGTTTGTACGATGCCCTATAGTGCGGGCCTTTTGGGAGTGGTGGGCACTGCAATGAACCCAGATCGTGAAGACACTTGTCAACAATGCAAGCCCAGATGAATGTCAACCAGCTGATGATTATCAATAATCAGAATCGTGTCCACAGACGAAGGAGAGAGGAGGGAGATTAGACAAAGAAGAGGAATAAAGACCAGTGCCCACTTCTGCTTCGGGCTCCCTCCTCGATCAACACCTCAAATAATCAATAGTTTGAACACACATCTAAAGTTCTATTACAGTGTGCCACGTGGCACATCGATCAGTCCCTCATCAGCATACTAGAGCAATGTCGACCTCAAGATAACCAGGTATGTGTCCACAATCATCCCACAGTCATGATCTCCTCCCGAGTGACGATGAAACAGAACAGCAAAGTCAGTCACGTAGCCCAGCCATGTCAATAGAACACGTGGCAGCGGCCACGTCAGCAGCAACGTGTGGCAGCTGCCACGTCAGCATGCCTTGAAGACAATAGCCAGCCAGCCACCATGCCGAGCCAGCAGCGCGTCGCCGTAAATCTCCTAAGTGCCAGCACAAAGCCAGTGTCCACCAGCGTCGCAGCGTCGAGCCAGCGCAGCGTCGTCAACGCGTGAAGTGAGCATTGACGCAAGACTGAATGAATGTCAAAGTCAGGAAGTCAGCGCTTATGTAGCGTTGACGCGGGGTCTGGACCCCGGATGCTGCATCCCTCAGCCGTCGAGATCTCAATGCAAATATCGGCCCAGATTGGCCTGACACCAACTTCCTTCTAGCCTCGATGCTGTCTGGGTACCTGCGCACAACAAGTGAGTGTATCCGACCAAGGGCCTGGGCGCAGTACCTTTGACCTGACAGTTGACTTGGACCTTTGATTTTCCCATGGGCAGTGTGTGGTCACACTTCCTGGCGCATGCCGAGTTTGGCCTGCGTCGTCTGGGCTCCGTTTTGAGGGCCCAGACTGCTGCAGAACACGGGTTACTGCAGGGTCAAGAGATAGTGGATAAAACCCCACTTGAGGTCACGGAGGAGGATGCGGCTATCCTACTGGGGCCACTGATGAAAGCGAAAAAGGCTAAACCGGAGGATCTGATGGCAGCTGAAATTGTGAGGGCGGCGGTGTTGTGCCTTGTGGACACTGAGGAACGAACGCTGCAGAGAGGGTACCTCTCCCCCGCTGCAGGTTTACCAGGACAGGGCGTTGGAAAATATTTGGGTGCCTCTCCTGGCGGATTGGCATCAAAGCAGAAACACAGGAGAAGGGAAGGAAGAACGGTTCTGGGCCAGATGGGGTTCATACCCGGAGCTGGTCGCCCGGATCCCCAGACGGGCCGCATGTTGTTCGGTCCGCTGTTTTTACGCCAAAGGCCCCGGTCAGATACGGAGGAAGAATCCGAATAGGGAATTGATTAGTTAAGAAAAGCAGCCAATATGTATAGTAGTTAGGGGGGCGAGGGGGGTAGGCGGTAAGTAGAAGTAGAATGGTTGGTTTGGGAATTGTACAATATTAGGGGAAGGAGACCGGAGTATGGGGAGTAGGGCCAAAGGACAAGGGGAGGGGTAGGGTGGATAGGGAAGGCGGGGGGGGGATGGGGGAACAGACATTACAATACATTAAAAACGTTAAAAACATCGAAAACATATCAAAATTTCAAAAATACTCAACAGAGTATAGGAACAGTAAAGACACTGTGAGTTAGAAGGCGCTGGGGCGACCATAACCGCCACTGCAGGAGAGATATTGATGTGGAGTCACTTAAGACTGTACAAGGATACATTGTATTGATGACGCAAGCTTAGGGAGTAAGGCATATAGAGATAGTAAGTGACATGCGGCTAGTTAAGAAAAAGGTACAGTGGGACAAGAGGGGTGTTGCGTGCTGAGAAGGCAGCTCAAATAGGTCAAGATAGATAAAATGATAGTTGGACAAAGGTAGATAGAGTTGGAAGCGATGACATAATAATGGCATAATAATAATCTGCGGACTTTGATAGGCGGCCTGAGGAACTGCAGGGGAGGCCCCTCCGCGCGCCCTGTCCCTCTGAGGGCCACCCTGCTGCGTGTCTGGGTGCTGCTAGTAAGCCTCCCGGCCAGCAGGGCGACCCTCGGAAAATGACCATGGTTTGGTGGGGGGGGGGGGGGGGGGGGCTTTCGCAGGTGCCCCAGTGGTTGACGATCAATGCCACAAGGGCTAGGCTGTTCCCCTTTCATGATCTGATCTCCCCCCTTTTTTGGATGTACAAACATGCTTGCCTGTGATAAGTAACCGGAGTGTTGCCCTCCAGAATAGAAGGGGCCTTGTGCTTAAACCACCAGTACCTTCCCGTTATTTTTTAGAAGTTGCGGCCGTTAACACGCCACAGCTTTCAGGAGTCGGGCAAGCTAACGCCCGGTCGCTTCATTAAAAAAAAAAAAAAAAAAAAAAAAAAGAGCAAACAAACAAAAAAACAGACCGCTAGGCGAAGCCCGAATAACACACACACACACTTGAGGAAGCCCGAATCTCTCCGTGCGCGCGGGAGAGAGAGAGAGAGAGAGAGAGAGAGAGAGAGAGAGAGAGAGAGAGAGAGAGAGAGAGAGAGAATCTCGGCGGCCTGTGCGGGGTGCTCCGTGCAGCCCGCCGAGACTGCAGGCTTCTCGACATATACAAAAGACAAATCATGGCGGTGTATCTTTCCATGTTCTAGCGAAAGATTCACTCTCGTTTTGCACATTTCGAGTGTAGTGCAGCGACTCTCTCTCTCTCTCTCTCT